TGGTTTCTCACTCGCGTGCCGTAACTAAATACTCAGAGGGAGCAAGTTAATCTGCTGCTACACTTGCAGTTTATTGTTCATGTACAGCGTTATAAACAACACCAACTGTGCATGATGAAACTGTGTCTATTCAGTAAATGCATCCATCCAAACCCAAAGGTTTCCATGTAAAAGCATCAAATTAAATCACTGCTTGAACCAGAGTGAAACGGAGAAGCATGCAGGGGCTGCGTCCACTTGCAGGTGCTCAAATATTCAAATGCTTGATAATGAGATCATAATTCCACTCTGGAGTGTGTTTGCTGTTGTTTAAAACAAGCCCATGCCGTTGATATAAATCAGCGTTGGGTTCGTATACCTGCACGTCTGCACATTACCAGCTTGACGAGAGACAGGACCGAGGGGATTTCACTGTAGAGGTTAGCAAGCACAAAATGCCCAAAATGTGCTGGAACCACTCTGCTCTCCAAATTATGGTCAAACACGCGCCACACAGCTGTAGCGGCGGAGGGGGAAACGCCTTGGCGGTTCATAAAGGGCTCAGTGTGCAGCTGAAATGACCGTGCGACTCCTGAAAATAAACAAGAATCAAATGGAGTGATTGATCGAATAAATTAAGGCTAGCAGCAAGAGCCACACTCTCTCTTTCTCTGGCTCACCACTCCCACCTCTCCCCTAGTAAACACACACAGACAGACACGGCTACTCATCAGCTCCAATGACCGCTCAGGTAGAAAAACAGACACTTGTTGCTGTTTGTGCCTGTGCACAGGCCAGCTGCAGCTTGTTTCTTTTCCACAGCAGTGGGCTGGAGTGGGTTGGTGATGGTTTTTTGGACTAGACCTAATTAGCTGCATGGGGGACCTTAATTTGCTTTTATGTACCAGAAAATGCTCAAACTGCATATTTGCTTATTTTCACTGGAGTGGTTTTGAAAAAGCGTGCAAGTTTGATAAAATGATGTCCTCTGGATAAATTCAGGTTCATCATATGTCTGTTCAAACGACACCTGGATTGTCTTACTTCTAATTCACTTAAGTACCAGTGTGCACTCACAAGCAATTAGCTCATGTTTTGTTTCGTGCATTTGTTTAAAAAGTCCACGAGAGCTGAATGTTTGAATGGTCAGCGTCAGAATCCTGTGTAATTTTCAGGATCTCCTTCAAACTAAATGCTACAAAATGTATGTGCAAATGACAGAAAATTGCTCATTTAAAATATATTATTAAAAAAAACTTCATTCACAGAGTTTGAGCCAGATTCCAGGTTTAAGGTGAGCTAAATAATTTCACAGTTTCATGAAAAACATCGTCTTTATTAATTTTGCCACAAAAATGCATAAAATCCAAATTCCAAGGGGAAAAAAGCAGGAAATATTACTAATGTCATTATAGTTTGATTACATGAGATGTAATTTTCCTGTCACTGAGGGCTAAATTATTTGTTTGTGCCTATTTACTATTGATCGTGTTTGAAATATCATAAACATCTGCAACAAGTCTGCAGTAACTGTACATTTGTTTTTATATGATTCAGGACTCATTTGTTTACAAAATAGAAAAGCTAAACCAATAATTATGATGAATTCATTTATATGAACACAACAGATATTAGTAAACTTCTTTTTTAGCAACTTTATTTGTGTCATGGGCTTTAAATAAAGGAATGGGACCACTTCTCTTAGCAGAAATCTGATCGGTTCCCTCTGAAGTTCTGCTTGTCACTCTGAATTCTTTACAAACTAGTAAAAGTCAAATCTGTTCCAGCGATCATAACAATGCTTTTATTGCATATTCTTTTAGATTAAGGACTAATATCAAACCAGATTTATTTGGATCTCATGCCTGAGACGGTGGAAAAGTCAACAGTCCTGCAGTCTGCTGAAGTTTTGTGGAAAACGTTGAATATCTTAGCAGAAACTTGACCTTTACCGGTTAGATTTGTTGATTTATGATGTGGTGTTTGTTTGCTGTGACGCCCTTCAGGAGAAGCCGATGCTTTCCTCACTATTTAACTGCTTCTAAATGACAAGGCTTTATATTTTAGAGTGGTCTTGAAATCTAAACCACTCAAACTGCATGCTGGCTGGTCAGATGTGTCATGAAACAAACCCTCTCTCACACACACACACACACACACACACACACACACTGTACTCTATCCATTTCCTTATATGGTTTAGTGAAATGCTGCCATAGGATAGCTCTGTCTCCTGATGGATGTAAACAACCGATCACTGAATGGACCCTTGTTCACGTCTCCTCGACAACACAAAGACTTTGGTTTTAATAATCGACTTCTCTTTCCCAAAAACAAAACAGATCAACACGATGTTGCACAAAACGTCACATCTTAGCTCCTTCCACAAACACGCTCAGCAACATCTTGGAATAATCAGCCCAATTAGAGGAGGTACTGGTGGAGAGTGGCTGCAGTGAGCGGAGAGAGGTTGTGAAAATAGGAGGGTTGACTATTAGGGGAAACGTGATCTTCATTCATCAGAGGTTGTAATAATTACCATTTCAAAACCAGAGCCCCGTGATCAAACTGATCTGTGGAAACAAGCGGTTTACAAACACTGTCAGGGGAAGGACACAGGACCTCTGTCACTGCTGGAGCACACACCCACTTCTGATTAGGACCAAACCTCAAAAACTGTGGAGATACTTAGTATTTATAGACATGTTGTTGCTATTTAGATTTCCTCTTTGCTGCAGTGACAGGTCACTCACTTCCTTCTTCATTAACCTCTCCGACCTTTAGGATGCACTGTAGCCCTTTAGATGCATTAAGATTTTGTCATGTAAAAATCATGCATGAAATGATGTGAATTAAAAACAGCCGCTGAGGAAATGTGTTTTACTAAATAAATAAGATAAAAAAAAGGACAGAACTGCACTGTATAATTTCCAAACAACAGCACATGAGGAGGTTTGAAAAGGTCAAGCGGATAAAATATTACATGCATCTGAATGGCCTCTTGATAGAGTTTGCAACCTAAAATTGATATGAAACACGAGCTCCCCTGGAGAATATACTGTGACCACTGTGAGCAGGACTGCAGCACCTCTTTTTTTTTTTTGGGGGGGGGGGGGGGGGGGGGGGGGCTCTGGGGTGTTTGGGACTCTTTTAGAACAGAAAAAAATAAGTGTTTGTGTTAAATGGATGGAGGCATCTGTTTAATCTGGAATCTGTTTCTAATTGTGTGTCTGTCAAATGGAGTTTGGTGACACTGTTCAAGCATTGATTAAATTATTATTATTATTATTATTATTATTATTATTATTGTTATTATTATCAATGTTATAATTATTAGTTGCTGTTGTATTTGAGTGTTTTATCCATATTAAATCACCTGTATGTTGTCACTCCCATAATCAGTCTAATCGTGAGAAGTGCGCTTCAGGCTGAACCCGCGCCAGAAGAAGAGGAGCGCAACTCGGGAACAGAGATCAGGCTTCTTCATCACAGCTAAAAAAGTATTTTCGTACTTTAAAAAACTGAATTTATTCAAACAGCTGCGACTTGGCAAAAAATATGCATGCCACGAGCCATCGAGCACACATCAAATATGATCCGGTGTTAAGGAAGAAGTGCCTATTTCATAAAAAAATACATTTACCATAAACACCCGTTGATTACATTTATTATGCACATCAATCGTTTAAATAATAACCATATAAATATATTCATTTTCATAGATAAGCACTTTATGACTCACCTTGTCTGTCTGAAGTTGTCGTCCCGCGCAGGTAATAGTTTTGAAAGATGAAGAGTGTGTGTGTGTGTGTGTGTGTGTGTGTGTGTGTGTGTGTGTGTGTGTGTGTGTGTGTGTGTGTGTGTGTGTGTGTGTGTGTGTGTGTGTGTGTGTGTGTGTGTGTGTGTGTGTGTGTATGGTTTGGAGCAGCTGTGTGTAGTTATGTGATACTGCTCATCGGTGTGGCTGACAATCGTGTCTCTAATGAAGAGGTCCCACGGTGGGATGATAGAAATCTACCAACTGGTCAATCTTTGACTCTGCAGTCAATAACGCGCTGGGATGTCCGCGTGACGCACGCGCGTGATGTCTGCCTGACCAACTCCTGCAACAAGCAAAGATTTTAAACTTATAATAAACGATTCCAAGTTTTCTCTTTTTCTTACCTTTTTCCCATAATTTGGAATTATAAATTTTGAAAAATCGAGTCCTGCTCTGTTGCTGATCTCCTTCCTCTCTGGCACAAAAACAGATTATTTCGGTCTCCCGGTGACTGATGCCGTTTATCCTCTCAGCTTCTACGGGACAGACTCTCCTTCCTGCTCCTCTGCTCCGTGCTGCAGATTCTCGCGTGAGCTGCTTTCTCTATTAGATCGGCTGCACACCTTAAAATTGTTCATTCACGCTCCTGCAGCCCCTGCCTCACCACTAATTTAAATAAGCAGCATCTTTGTTTCCATGTATCAACGATAAAATATGATAAAGACAATAGAAAATATAAAAATGCAACGTTGAATTTAAGTGTAATATCTTTGGATTCGTTGGGAAATACGCATCTTTAAGTTATGTAATATTTTAAATACAGTTAAAAGCCAGTTTCATATTCTGAACCATTTAATGAGCATTTACAAAATATTGTAATTGCAATTCATAAATGTATGCAATCCAGCTTCATCTTCTAAATTATTTTTGGAAGATTCATTCGCTTTTCTTCAATTTCCAAAATTTGCAACCACTAGTTTACTTTCTTCTTGTTATTATTAGGACATTATAATAAAGTTTCGTTTGCTTGGAGCTGTTTCACATTGAAGCAAAGTAGCATTAAAGTTTCTGAGTTGACGGACACCTTTGCTTGATTGATTCGTGGGAGCTGCCAGAGGCAAGAAAGGCGCACTGCCGCTGCGCGCTTCACGCGCTCTGGCGCCGTCCTTCCTCCAGCTGCAGGATCAGCTCAGCACACACCTCTGCGCTCTTTGGCTGCCTGAGGTGTCCGTCAAAGTCAAGTGGGAGGAAGAAAAATAATGTTTTCGAGGTAAAAATTGGAGCAATATTTCTATTGGTGGGCGGAATGGTCGTGAAAGGGACAATCGGGCTGACTCTGCCAAGGAGCCACCTCAAAGCGTATCGGGTTACTTTGAGTGACAGCGTAACCATGGCGAATAATTCAACTAAGGCTATTGTCTTATCCTCACCATCTCCGGGTCAGATAACCGACCAATCAGAGTTCATATAATCGCTTGTCTTGCCAGCTTAGAATAATATTATTAAAACGAGCCAGCGAGTCTGGTCTCCGCGAGTAGTTTAAGCTGAAACGACACAGAAAAGGTGGAGGAGGACGGCGGGAGCTGAAATTTTCTCTCTTTCTCTACAACTTTATGAGGAATTGCCGCCTGGGGTTTCGCGCTGCTGAAGACTCGAGCTGACTCTGAGCTGGATATCGCCAAAACTCCGAGCTCTTCTAAGTTTCATGCTGCTCTTGTGGGACCTTCTTGACACTCGTGGACTTACATGCGTCTTGGTTTAATGAGATATTGAGAGGAGAGACGTGGAAGTGAGGCACAGTCTAAACTGTCTTGGTTTACGTCGTCGCCATGTCCATGCTTCCAACGTTTGGTTTTACGCAGGAGCAAGTGGCGTGTGTCTGCGAGGTCCTCCAACAGGGGGGGAACATTGAGCGGCTGGGGCGCTTCCTCTGGTCCCTCCCGGCGTGCGAACACCTCCACAAGAACGAGAGCGTCCTCAAAGCGAAAGCTGTGGTCGCTTTTCATCGGGGCAACTTCCGAGAGCTCTACAAGATCCTGGAGAGCCACCAGTTCTCGCCGCACAACCACCCGAAGCTACAGCAGCTGTGGCTCAAGGCGCACTACATTGAGGCGGAGAAGCTGCGGGGCCGTCCGCTCGGCGCGGTGGGGAAGTACCGCGTCCGGAGAAAGTTCCCCCTGCCCCGCTCCATCTGGGACGGCGAGGAGACGAGCTACTGCTTCAAGGAGAAGAGCAGGAGCGTTCTTCGGGAGTGGTACACCCACAACCCGTACCCGTCCCCGCGGGAGAAGAGAGAGCTGGCCGAGGCCACGGGACTCACGACCACACAGGTCAGCAACTGGTTCAAGAACCGACGGCAGCGGGACCGAGCCGCTGAGGCGAAGGAGAGGTAGGAAAACAACAACATCAACACTCCAAAAACATTTGTATATTATTTTCATTATGATGATGATTTATCTGGTGTGCGCACTGATCATTTCCCGCACAGACCAAATATTTAGAGTCTTCCTGTTCAAACCATAATTTTCGCCACCTGTTTTTCTGATGGCCTTTTTGGAACTGCAGATGAATGTTTGCATGAATTTGAAAATTACACGCAGTAAAAGTAAAAAAGGCTGGAAATGAAAGGGTTAGTTTCAGCGGAATTACAAGGAATCATGCAGCACCTACAGCGCACCTTTATGTTTTACTAATGACACTTATTATATAACACTGAGTTTTCCCTTTCATATCAGTGTGTGTGTGTGTGTGTGTGTGTGTGTGTGTGTGTGTGTGTGTGTGTGTGTGTGTGTGTGTGTGTGTGTGTGTGTGTATGTGTGTGTCCTCCTTAAAAGTTTCTTCAGAACTTCTCTCAAAGTTTGAAAGACAAGTCTGCAGAGTTCCACTCATGTTGGTGTCTTCTTTCTCCCTCTGGCCGCTAATTCGGGCTGAAAGCTTCGCGTAAATCATGTCGTTGTCCTGGGAAAGCGCACGGCGCGCGCACGCATATGCACCTTAAGTGCAAAAGTTTTGTGTTTGATGCAGATGTGCAGAGCCTCTCAGCTGGATTAAATACTTCAGCATTTATTGTTTCCTGTCATTTAAGCTGCACGCCTCTTCTTATTCGGATAAATTGTTTGCGTCTTGGCTCAGGTGCGCGTGACTGGATTAGTGGTTGAATCATTAATAAGTCATCAGTTCGAGCTTTCACACAATAATGGTGTTAAATTGTGTGTAAATATGGTGCAGATTAAGCATTACTCGTGAATTAAGCCTGTTTTGGGGGGAGAAATGTTCGTTTTTTATAGTTGCAGAAGTTTTGTGCGCTTTCCAACTAACGTGAGTTTCTTCCCTGCAGGGAAAACAACGAGAACTCCAACAACAATCACAACCCACTATCGTCTTCTATGAATGGAAATAAAACTCTTTTGGGGAGCTCGGACGACGACAAAACCCCATCGGGGACCCCGGATCACACGTCTCCTAGCCCTGCTCTGCTCCTCTGCCCAAACCCCGGTTTGCCGTCTTTGCACGGCCTTGCACCCCCGCCGGGACCCAGCGCAATCCCGGTGCCCGGCGGCGCAGACTCAGTGCACCATCACCACTCTGTGCACCATGACACTATACTGAACTCCATGTCTTCTAATCTAGTGGACCTTGGCTCTTAAAGGAAAAGCGGGACAGAAAGGGACAAAGTCGTTTTCATGGTGGCGCGAGCAAATCTTCAAGCACTTGGGGTAAGGTGGAAGGCAGATAAACTGCAAAAGCCACCATAACAAATCACTTAGTCTCATATTTAACTTTGCAAACTCTTTTTTCAACCAACGGGGGAAAATCTCACCTCCTAATAATTAAATCCTCTGGTTAGAGGATGTTTTGGTCCAGAGCAGAAGCACTTAAGAACTTTTTTTATGCTTAGATCAAGTGCAGAGGGAAACTTTCGCTTTAAAAATATTATTTGGAGGAAAAAATGACAAGATGTGAACTTTTGGAGATGGAACATGCAGTTTGGGAGGAAAAGGCAAGAAAAGGGAAAATAACTTGTATTTTAATGGAATGTAATTACATGTTATATTGTTTAAAACAATATTAATAATAAAGTGTCTTAATTCTTGTTCTGATTTTAGTTAAGTTCCGACTCAGAACCCCCTGCCTTTATGTTTACATTGAGAGCCAGAAGCAGTCATTTTTTTGTTTTTGTTTACAATTTTTGTTCATTTTGTTTGCTTTTGAGGCTGATGGGCTAATTTTTTAAATTGTCGTATAAGATGAAGTATCTTAACCTCCTGATATTATTATTATTTACATTTGGAAATAGACTGCATGTAACCTTTAATCTGCGATGAACCATGAAACGACTCACTTTTAGTTTCATATACCCTTTCCAATAAAAGACAAAAGATATTCGTGGATTTTACTGAATTTTAACATTTTTTTAGTCTTTGAGAGTACATCGAGGAAAGGACGTGCAAATAAAAATGCAAAATGTTTCCCGCATAGCAGGGTATGAGTAACGAATATTTGCTTCCGGAATAATTTGAGTGCGTTTGCAATTTAATAATTTGCATTTAATTTATTTATAATGACTTTGAGTTTATGCATGCAGATTCTGTCTGATTCTGCAAACGAACAATAAAAGGTAAATTTACAAAATAAAAGCATTTGAATATAACTTAATCTACTCCCTGCAAGAAAATATTTTTGTTTTATTCCTGCAAAATAAAACCTTAAAACCTGCTAAAAAATCAAGATCTGGGTCAAACTTTAGCAACATATTCAAAATTAGAGGCCCTGACTTTACGTCAGTAACTGCTTTCAGTAGATCCAATGAATTATTGTTTCGTGTTTTTATTAACGAGGTAAGGTCAAAGGTCACCTGAGTAATCATGTTAAAAAGACTCGAGGTAGAGAAACAAAGTAGAGACTCTCAATCCGGCACTTAGTAAGAACAACACGAGTCAAGAGGCAGACATGTGGTGATTAAAGCTGGGAGAAATCCATCCGCGCGTCTCCACCGAGGAGCCTTGATGTTGGAGCGATGACACCGTATCTCTCCGCGCTCGGCTGAGTGGAACAAAAGCGCCGTAGAGTTTGTCAAAGGAAGCAAAAACAGAGTTTGTGCCCTGCGTTGAAAGAAGACACTTTATTTGAACAGCTTTGGCTGTGCGACACCCCCACCCATCACCCCCTCCTTCAGATTTCCACCTCTAACTTCTCACACGAGTTTGGAGATTTTTGCGGCATCTTTTCTTCAGCACACTCTTGCGCATATCTTACTCCACGCTGTTTTCCAGCTAAGATGTGATCCAGTTTGGAGCAACTATGTGAAATGCATGTTGTGCACGTGCACGGTTTTCTTTTACGATGGAAACAAGCATCTTGGTTAATAATGAATGGCCCAAAGAACAACAATGAAACGCTTTATTGTCTCCTTTCTGTCTGCAGACTAGTAACATCATGTTCTAACGCAACAATGCCCATTACACACGCATCTCAGAGTGACACAGTTTCTAATTAAGGAGAATTTCTGAGCGGATTTCTGAGTTCAGAACAACAGGAATATTTTCATCACCAACTCTGATCCTATTAAGAGTTACGGTCTTTTAAAGCTTCTCGTCCCCTTTTTGTTTTGCTTATAAAAATGAAACGTGAACTGGCACCAGCACGGCCTGCCTTCGGGAGAAAACGCAGGCTATTAAAGGGGTTTTGGACCGTATTTGTTAGAAAATTGCACCAACAGGGTGTGGTGGTTATAGAGGCCGATTTAATTCTGCAAAGCTGCTTTTTAATGGGAAGTAAACAGTCGGACAGGTAGGAACTTGTGATTTCTTCAGGCTGTTCTGAGGACGTTGCGGTTCAGCGTGTTTTGGTCAAAATGTTATGTCGATCAGACGAAAATGACTTAGAGATGGTAGAATGTGTTGGGCAATATCTAAAAATAAAACCCCAACAACAACTTGCTGGCCGGCTGCGATCAGTTCAGAGCAAAAACATCTAAACAGACAATAAGTCCTGTTAATGTCTGATTTATTTCTTCTTCATTTAAAAAATAAATTACATACATTTCAAAATAAAGCAGCAAATCTAAGAAAAAAGTTCGACAATTTTTTTCAATTTTGTGGATTCATAACAAATAAATATTAAATAAATTAGTGAATGATTAAACAAGCATAATTCAACACGTTAAAATAATTAAATCTAAAACCTTTCTATTTTAAATTAATTATTGAATTTTTACACAAAAAGTGAAGAAAAATATTCATTTTCCAAACTTGCGGACTTGTAACTGTATCTCATAGATATGAATAATTCAAACTCTAAGAAGAAAATATTATCAGAAAACATTGATTATTGTATTTTTACATATAAAGTGAAGAAAAAAGATTCTTTGTAAAAAAAATTGTTTTTTTTATTTTTGTGAAGATTTCATTTATCCGACACTCACAAACTCTGCGTTACTGCCTGAGAATGACAAAATTGATTATATAAAGCCAGAACGTTTGAAGGCACATGTCTTGATTTTTCCCCCAACTCGCTTCTTATATATATATATATATATATATATATATATATATATATATATATATATATATATATATATATATATATATACATGTTTTCCTGCTCTGATTCTCTGTCCTCAGTTTTCTTTTCCTTTATGTGCTCAAATGTAATTGTTGTTTATTTATTTATTCATTTTTTATTAAGTCTTTTTCCTAATTGTGTTTTAACCAGTTCAGTTCAGTGTTAACCCGCTCCATGGAAATGTCAGGTACAGTGATGCTGCTTATAACGTGACACATTATTGGCCCCAGTGGGGAAATTCTCCTTTCACTTAGACCCCCTTCAGGGAGGTCAGAGGTCAAACTTTTATTGCAGCAGCCTCTGAGCTGGGTGGGATGGGCTTGATCTGGGTAGGGAGGCTTAAACATGAGCCTCTCTTAGTCCCGGAGTTTGTCAAACCTCTGCTCTAATTTAAAGATGGAACCAGCTGATCTCAGAGCTTGAGCAGTTTTACAGATGAAATGAATGAGGCAGAGCTCGTGTTACACAACGGAAATTAATTAGGAAAAACAAAAATGTCCAGATGACGTCATGTTCCTGAGAACTCAGGTGACACCATGTCCTTTTGACCTGTAAGTGTGAAGAGTGAATAATTGTTGTCAGAGAAAAATTAACTGCTTGCTTCAGGCATTTACAGCCAGAAAGGTGCGTACCAGTTTTAATTAAACTTTTAAATGGTTTGAATGGAGCCATCCAAGTTAAATCATAATTATCACATCAGGCTGTCAGCTCTGAGTCCACGCAACACCCCCCACCCTCCTTAATCATCTTCACCTCTGCTTTAGCTGCACTAAAATTCAGTCAGACTCTTTGTTTCTGCAGAGGACCACATGTTGTTTATTAACGCACATTGGAGTGTTGTGTGAAATGGGAACAACATGTTCTTTAATGAGATTCTTCTTCCATCATCATGACTGGGCAAAAGCAAAGATGTTGAGTTATTACTTTTAAACCCTTTTGTTTAATTTTTAAGATCCGAAAGGTCATTCGTAGTCAGATGGCAGCTTTGAAGGTAAATGTGTTATTTTTATATAGTTTTCAAATGCTTATATAACTTTAACTATTTTTAATAGATTTTTTAAATGAATTTGTTCATAGTTCCACTATAAAATAGATACACATTTATTTATTTATTTATTTTGCCAGATGCAAAACTGACATGCAAGACAGGCTAAGCAACAAGTAAACAATCAATAAACAAAAGACATATTTTTAAGTCCAAGTCAAAGCAAAGGGCAACAAATAAAAGGAAAAACTTTCAAACCTGAACAATATTTTCATTGTACATGCAGGAACTGTCCCCATTCAACAAACAAAAATAACATCATTATTTCAAATAAATAAAAATACAGATAGTACTATAAATAAAAAAGACTCATCTGATGTTTCATTTTCTTCACCAATGCATAAATGGAAGTAGCTTATTGTGCCTTTACAAGCTACATATAACAGACTGTGGTGATTAGAATAATTAGGGATGTTTTTGTTTAGTTAGTGGATCACTCTGAGGTTAAATGTGTGTTTATTGATGAGCAACCCTGATTTCATCCTCTCTTCATCCTTTGTGTGTTTTTAGTTGGATCAGGTGTGTCCTAAACCGGGATAAAACTTTAGGGGGTCTGGGGAGTGCTGAGGAGGATGAGGAGGATGAGGGTGCGCGGTGTAGAGTTACAGCCCAAAAATATTGGGAAAGAAATGGTCAGGGGAGAGCAGGCATTAACATCTGCTGAAAATGTACTGTTACAAAACACACACACACACACACACACACACACACACACACACACACACACACACACACACACACACACAGAGAGAGAGAGAGAGAGAGAGAGCTTTTCTTCATCCCTAACCAGATCAGTTATTTTCTTTACATCATTTATTGCAGTTGCAACATTTTGCTGCACAGTTGTGTTATTCAAAATATTCAATCATCAAAACTGGTGCAATTACCAATGAAAGTATGAAAATGTGTAATTTTACTAATTTTGTCTTTGTGATTAAGGACGACATTAACTTTCCTGTTTATCTTCCACAGAAGGATGGCGGGTCCATCCTCCCTGTGTTTGTCTCTGTCATGTGCACCCAGACCTCCGCTGATGGAGACGAGAGACCACCAGAACCTGATTCTGGTTCTGATGGAGCTTCATTTCTGGTCAAAGAGTGTTCTTTCCCACTGTCGCTGTGCTGTGCTGGTCAAAACGAGGGAATTCTACAAAGTGGAGATTCCACACAGATTTCTTTTTTGGGACTGATTTGGCATTTTGTGTTCTGAAGAGTCAAACTCAAAACTGACTGTAGTGCACCCAGACTTCAATGTTATTTATTACAGTGTGTGTGTGTGTGTGTGTGTGTGTGTGTGTGTGTGTGTGTGTGTGTGTGTGAGAGAGAGAGAGAGAGAGAGAGAGAGAGAGAGAGAGAGAGAGAGAGAGAGAGAGAGAGAGAGAGAGAGAGAGAGAGAGAGTGTGTGTTTGTGCAGAGAGGGTTAAAGCAGAGAAACCCACCTGGGCTTTTTCTCTCTACTGTAAATTTCTAGATGGAGACAGGATCAGGCTATTCTGATCACATTAGCTTCACTCCGATGGCTTTTCCAGCAACTGTCACCTGACACCATTCCATTAAATCTGTCCGGCTAAAAGATTAACCACACTGTTCTTTATGCTTTCACTGGGTGTTCACTCAGAATGCTAAAGGGCAGGTTAAATCATGCTCCGGATTTTTGGCTTGGGTTTTACCTTCAGCCTGTCCAGATTTCTTTGTTTTTATAACGTGATGTTTTATCAGCCAGCAGCTCCATCACTTTAGGTCCCTTTCTTCCCTTTTTAGACGCATTTTGCCTG